AAAAAAAAGAAAAAAAAAAGAAAAAAAAAAAAGACGAGTGGAGGCGGCCAAAGTCTCCCATCGCACCCCAGTAACTTCAGCTCTGTGGGGAACGTCGGCCACATTTCGTGCGTGCTGCTGCGCATGTTGCGCCAGCATTGATCGCCACTGTCGAGAGTTGCCAAACCAGAAGTCGCATTTTAATTTGCGAGGACCCCTGCCGAATAAACAAGCACAGCGCGCGACCGCCAAAAGGAGCCTGCGCCCGCCCGCCCTTGCCTTTGCTCCCGCACACCCCCGAGGCTTCCAGCGACCCTCGATCCGGTCAGGTCCCCCTCAGCTTCGTCCTCCCTCTCACAGGCAGCGAAGAGATACGAGGACCGGACAACCGCTCGCGCGTCCCGTTGTGTTTGCTCACTGCGCCTTATGACGCCAGCCGGTGGTAAGTTCCTACCCGCAGCTTTATTTCCGCAATTTTTTTTTGCTTTGATTTTTATTTTTGGTCCGGCTTTTTATTTGCTCCTCGCTTGCCTCCATCTATCTCCCTCGAGATTCCTGCCGCCCATCGCCTGCCACCACGCCCCCTTGCATACACCCGCCACCCGCCCAGCCTTCCACCTTCGCTTGTCTGCTGGGTCTTGGGCCGCACCCTGCCTTTGGCTCTCGCCTGTCTAACGGCTCCCGTTCTTTGCAGGCCGTTTAGCATTCCAGCCAATCCAGCCGCCTCGTCACCACTGGCTGCGCCGACCGGCTATTGAAGCCGCAAAGACATCATCACTCCAGCTGGTTGCGGGTCCTCCCAGCGTGGGAATAAAACCTTATGGACTCCCCCTTCGCGCCCAGCGCGGCCGCCCCGGCCTTCTCTCCCCCAGTCTCGCCAGGCACACCAGTACCCCAGCGACCACTCAGCGCCATGGTCCGCCCGGCTCAGAGGAGCAATAGCCGCACGAGCAACAACAACAGGTCCGGTGGTGGAAGCAGGGCGTCCGACGACGATGCAAGAACCTCGGTCAGAGTCGGTGAGTGCTGCTGCTGCTCCTTTGCACATCGCTCCTACCCACGCCACTCTCTGGCGCCCACCATACCCCCCCAGCCAATCTCCCTTTCGCGAGGGTTTTGCCGAGATTCGGGGGTGCAGAGACGTAGTCATTCCTTCGCCATGGTTGCACACACGCACGGGATGGAATGCTCTGGCGACTAAGGACGCGCAAGCCACGGACCGCACCGCATGGGGGAGGAAGCATCGCGTAACCATCATGCGGATGGGTAAAAAGGCCATCGTCCGGAACTGACACCCGCCCATGCGCATCACATCTAGCCGTCCGCATCCGACCGCCGCTCAAGCCCAGCGATCCCGGCTACGATCTGATCCCGCAGCGTTTCCAGCGGTCCATGGTCCAAGTGACCTCCGACACAAGCCTGACCATCGATGCGCCTCAGGGCCGGAAGCTCTTCGTCTTCGACCGCGTGTTCGACTCCGAGGTTGACCAGGAGGGCGTGTTTGACTATGTCAGCGACTGCGTCAACGCCTTCACTCAGGGCTACAATGTCTCCCTGCTGGCATATGGCCAGTCCGGCGCCGGAAAGTCCTACACGATGGGAACATCTGGGCCGCTCGAGCAGGATGATTTGGAAATGATGGGTAAGTCTAGTGAGGTTGTGGGTTGACCAGACGGACGCTTTCGCCCGCCCCTTCTGGCCCAAGTTACGTCGCCCCTCGACACGCTGATCCTCGTCAGTGCTTGGTCATATGCACCTGCTGGCGGCCCGCAGGTGGACTGGTTCCCCGGGCGGGCTCGAGCTTGGTCTTGCAGAGTCCCTGCAGCTTACGCCGAAAGCCTAGACGCAGCATCCGATGGGATTTCTGGTTAACACGGACTAACCCACGATGCTCTCGTAGGCGTCATTCCCCGCGCGGCCTTTGCGCTGTTCGAGAAGCTGGACGGGCAGGTTGCCAAGCCTGGAGGCGCAAATAGGAGCTCAATGTCGCACCTGAAGACGCCTGCTCGCTACTCGGCGCAGTCAACGCCCCGGTCAGAGAAGAACTGGTCACTCAAGGCGACTTACGTCGAGATCTACAATGAGCAGCTCCGGGATCTCCTGTTGCCAGACACTGTCCCGGCCCATGAGCGTACCGCGGTCACGATCCGCGAGGACGTTAAGGGCAATATTTTGCTCACCGGGCTCCACCAAGTCGAGATCAACTCGGTGGAAGACCTGATGGCCGCGCTGAATCTAGGATCGGCATTGCGACAAACCGATGCGACGGCCATCAACGCACGCTCGTCGCGGTCGCATGCCGTCTTCTCGCTCAACCTGGTGCTCAAGAACAAGAAGATGTCGTCACCGGCTGAGAAGCGCTTCTCGGTGCCTCTCGAGGCCATGTCTGGCACGGAGTCGTGGGTGACGACGGACAGCAAGCTGCACTTTGTTGATCTGGCCGGCAGCGAACGTCTCAAGAACACGGGGGCGCAGGGCGAGCGGGCGAGGGAGGGAATCTCCATCAACGCGGGACTTGCCGCCCTGGGCAAGGTCATTTCGCAACTGTCCTCTCGCCAGCCCGGGTCGCACGTTTCGTACCGCGATTCGAGGCTGACGAGGCTGCTGCAGGATTCGCTGGGCGGCAACGCGATCACGTACATGATCGCTTGTGTTACACCCGCAGAGTTCCATCTGAGCGAGACGCTAAACACGGTTCAGTACGCTCAGAGGGCACGGGCGATCCAGAGCAAGCCGAGGATCCAGCATGTCGAGGAAGGCGACAAGCAGGCCATAATCGACCGGCTCAAGGCGGAGGTGGCCTTCCTCCGTGACCAAATCCGCAGCGCGGAACGTGGCGGCGCGGACAGACGCGCCCTTGCCTCTGGCGAGCGGTCTGAGCGACAGAGCGAGCGAGAGGCCGAGCTCCAGAATCAGCTCCTGGACTTTCAGGAAAATTACACTCACCTCAGCCAACGCCACGCTAAGCTGATTACTGAGATGGCCAAGGCTCGCGACAACGAGCAGGCCGAGAACCAGCAGCAGCTGGAAGAAAGCTTGGGGGACAGCGCCACCGCGAGGCTCAACCGCTCCAACAGTTTTGCCCAGGCCGTTGAGCAGGTGGTGCTCGAGTATGAAAAGACTATCCAGTCCCTCGAGCAGTCCCTCTCAAACACCCGCACCACCCTTGCCAACACCGAGACTAGCCTTCTCGAGAAGGAGACGAAGTGTGCATACGTCGAGACCATCAGCAATCAGCTTCAGGCCAGACTCCAGAAACTCATGGATCGCGAGGCCAGCACCGAGACCTACCTGCATGAGCTCGAGGCCAAGCTGGACGGCCACACCTCGGGCGAGGAGAAGAATGCGGCTATCCTTATCGAGCTACGTAAGGAGATCGCACGAGTTCGTGAGAGTGAGGCGACCGCCGAGGAGTACATTTCAACCCTCGAGGAGCGCCTCGCCGAGGCTGACCAGGATGCCGAGCTGATGCAGCGTGAGATCGACCGTCTCGAGCAAGTGGTCGAGCGCCAGCGGAGTCTCGGCAAGCTGGACTCGCTTTTGTACGAGCTCGACCACATCCACCAGGACGGCAAAGAGATCGACTCGGAGGCCGAGCTGGCCAACGGCGCCGCGGCGCACCGCCCCGGCAGCGGAAGCGGCAGCCGCTCGCGTTCGCTCTCCAACCACTCGCGCAGCCAAAGTCACGTCAGCCGCCTTAGCCAGAGGGAAGAGGCCATCCCGGAGGAGGACGACATGATGGGGGAGTCGCTCGACAAGATCCATGAGATGGATGACGACAAGGCCGACACCACCAAGACTACTTTCAAGTCTGGCCTCTCGACGCCTCACCATGACGACAATGGCGATTATCCCACAAGTCCGGCTCAGTCTAGGTTTGTGGCTGACAAGCTCGAGACGGTGTCGCAGGAACTTATTGATCTGCGCGTGGAGCATGACGTGACCGTGACCGACTTCGAGCTCCTTCAGGCCAAGTACGAGGAAGCCATCAAGGTCATTGCCGAACTTCAGGACTCGATCGACGAGTCTCGCCATCCTGAGCGGCCTCGTGATTCGGTCATGTCGCTTAGCTCTCCCCACACCCGACCCTCGTCGCTCTTCTCGGACCCCAGGTCGAGCATGGCTAGGGACGGAAGGCACTACTCGACACCTCAGTCACTCTCGACCGAGTTGACCTCTGCTCTGGGATCCCCAGCCGTTGACGGCTCCGACGTCGAGACTATGAACCAGAGACATCGCTCTGATTCGGCCGCTTCCATCACCCCTCCCGCTGCTGCCGCATCTGCGGCCCCCGAGGACTCGACCGAGGCGAACGCCCGTCTAGTTGCCGAACTTGGTCGTCTCAAGACCCTCGCCACCGAGAAGGACTCTGCCGAAAGGGAACTAGCCGCCAAGTACGCGCAGCTGGAAGAGGAGCACAGCCATACCCTCGACATGGTGGAGGAGCTCCGGACCGAGGTCGCAAAGGCTCAGGCGGTTGATACTAGCCTGCCCAGGACCGCGTCTCCCTTCATCCGCCGCAAGTCCAGCCAGACAGTAATGATGGTCGACCGTGCTCACCGTTCGTTCGCGACGCTTCGCAACATCGCCACCGAGAACCTTGAGCAGCAGCCGGATATCATGCAGAGCTTCAACGTCAACCTTGAGGCTGCCATGCACGAGCTCCACTCTCGGTCCGAGAGGATACAGCAGCTCGAAGCCGATATCACGACAGCCAAGAAGGAGATGGAGACTAAGATGACCATCATCTCAGGATTGACCCGTGAGCGGTCGAGCTTGAAGAGCTCGCCCATGGATATTTCTGTCATCTCAACGCTCAAGGACCAGTTGGAAAAGAACGAGAAGGAACGCAAGCATATGCAGGAGGCTCACTCGGAACGCGAGGCAGCGCTGCAGTCACAGCTGGACGCTCTGCGTTCCGAGGTGGAGGCGTCAAAGTCTACCCGAGGCTTGGCTGCTGCTGGGCACGATGGCAAGATCGAGGAGCTCCAGGCCGAGCTCTCACAGTGGGAAGAGAAGCACCAGAAGGCGCTTGAGACGATGCAGGCTACCGAGCAGGAGATGAAGAAGACTATCGAGGATCTCGAGAGCCAGCTGGCTGCCGTGTCGGCTTCGGCTCCGTCCACGGATGATGGAGATAAGCAGCAAACCATGGTTTCAATGCTCCAAAACGAGATTGATGGGTACAAGGCCATCATCAACAGCAACGCTACCAAGGTCGCTGAGCTGGAGCAGGGCCACGCTACCACCAAGACGCTGCTCGAGGCGATGTCCAAATCCCGAGAGCTCTCCGAGTCGGAGCTTGAGAGCCACAAGGCCCTTGTGTCGCAACTCGAGCAGCAGTTATCTCAGCACGAGCAGGCCGTCAAGGCGCATCAGGAGGAGCTGGATGCCATGCAGAGCAGGCAGGCGGACGAGCTCGAGAACGTCAGGGCTACTTCTGCCAAGGAGCACGACGAGATCGTCCAGCGGCTGCTGTCAGAGCACTCGGAGAACCTCCAGATTCTGCAGGGCGAGCTGACCGAGGCTCGCGAGGACCTGATGAAGGTTGCAACGCAGGTCGCCTATGCGCTCGGCCTCGACGTTAGTGTTGAGGCGATCACAGACCGCATCAACAGCCTCATCTCGGACCAAAAGGCTCTGGAGCGCGAGCAGCAGAGATCTGCCGACCTCGAGAGCACGACGGCAGAGCTGTCGGGCATCAATGACACTGTCATGCGCGAGCTGGAGGCAGTCGAGTCTACGCTCACTGACCTGCTGCTCACTCCGGGCGAGGCGTTCCGAAGCCCGTTCCCGTCGGTTCACGACCAGCTGTCGGCAGTGAGGAAGCGGATGGCTGAGCTCGAGAACAGGAACAAGAAGAACTCGCGACTCGTCGAGGAGCTCGAGGACCAGCTCCAGTCAAACTTTGATCAGGCGCAAATCGCCACAAACCGCCTGTCGACACTGCAGACGGAGCAGCAGGTCAGGGTCGACGAGGCTAACGCAGCTCGCGTCAGGGTGCAGTCCGAGCTGGACACCATCAAGGAGGAGTATGCTGCTCTTCAGGTACGTAAACATGACACGGCACCTTCCTGCCATATGGCAACAAAATTAGGACGTTTTCTAATCAATCTTTCTCTCTCTTCCCAGCAGGCCAGGTTCGAAGGTGTGCTCCCCTCGGATGTGCAGAGGTCAGACTCTCTCAACTCGAATCTGCGAAAGAGCTCCTCCGTCGCGTCACTCCCGTCGCCGCCGCCAGCGATTCCGCTGCCGCCACTGCCGGGTACCTCGGGTTCGCCACCCGGAGTTCCGGCGACGCCCACACAGGGTCGGCCGCCCAGCAAAGACCTGGCCATGTCTCAGATCCAGCAGGATCAGGAGGCGCGCATCAGGACGATCGAGAAGCACCTGAGCGCGGAGAAGCAGCTTACGGCGACGCTCGAGGAGGCGCTGACGGACCTGGAGGAGCAGTCCAAGAAGGTCAAGTCGGACTGCGAGGCCTGGCGCAAGCGGTGCACGGAGCTGGAGGCGGAGATGCGGGAGCTGCGGGACAAGCCGCAGCAAGACCCCAGGTGGAGCCTCCACGCGGTGGAGGAGGAGCGTCGCAAGCGGCGCGACGCGGAGCTGGCAAACCAGCGGCTCGAGGAGCGCATGAACGCCATCTCGAAGAAGAACAAGAAGAAGGGCAGCCTCAACTGCTTCTAGGCGCGTGCGGTTGCGCTGGCAGCCCTTATCGCCCTTGTTTTGGCGCTGCTGGCGGCCGGCGCCATCGTCATGCTGCGGCCCGACATGGTGCTGGCGGCTCTGCCTCGCAGCGCCGTGCCGCCAGAGCGGCCACACAGGCGGCGTGCTCTTCTCCTTTGTCCCTGGCGGGAGCTGCTTCTCGACCAACTTGGAGCATGAGCTAGCTGGCTCCTTCTCTCTCGCCCCCCCCTACTTATTCTGCTATGACATATTCCCCTTACTTCTTTTTACTGATTCATCTTCACTTCGATTCCCCCAAATTATGCCACCCCATTTTTTCTTTCCTTTTTTTCACGTCATGCCTCTTGCCGTATTGTGTCTCTTACTTTCATGTCGTCTCTTTGTGATGGTCAGATATATCCCCCCCAAGCTACGTACACTTTTATAGGTTCATACAATGTGGCGAGGAGTTTTGGCTTTGCCTTTCTGCTCCCTGAATTTGTTTCCAAAGACATGGCTTGGTTCCACGACCGACTGACTGACTGAGCATGTCTTGCTGGGTGCTCGCCGACGCGTTTCACGTCTTGTTTCTAGACTGGGGTCAGCCGTGCGATGTTTTCATGATTGATATTGCGGACCTGTTGATGCTATTTTGTCAGAGCTCCCGCTCGATTGATTCTTTCCCTGTGGTTTTATTTGACTCTTTGGCGCCGAATCTGATTTGCTTTGTTCTGCTTGTGTGGTGCCTTGTTGGGTGGTAGTCTGGAGTTTTCAGCACGGCCATGGCTCGGCCACGGTCGTGTGTCTGTTGCATTTCTTTTTCCCATCTCGCGGTTCGAGGCGCAGGCAAGTGAGGGGGCCTTTGTGGTGGCACCGTCGAGTCTGGTGAAAAGTCGTTGGTGCAGATGGGGGCCGGAATGTGGATGGTTTTTGCTTGGTGGTGTGGCGCGGTAATGTCAGTTGATGAGAGAGAAATGGGGGAGAAAAAAAGAAAAAAAAAAAAAAAAACATTGTTCCCGTCATTTTGTTTTTGCCACATTTTGGGTCCCGTGTTGTGTGTGTGTGTGTGCTTAGGCAGGTAGGCAGCAGTATCTCCCTTCTTTGCCCGTGCAATATGCGATTCCGTCCATTGAGCAATTACGTCCAATCGTTTGCCCAGGCACCAACCCTTTTTTGTCATGACCTCAGCCTCGTTTTGTCTGGAGGTCAGCGACCCATGCTTGTGATCGGATGAGAGGGTCCTCTCCCCCCGTGGGCTGTGTAGAAAATCCCCGATTGCCCAGGTACTGCTTTCCCCCTTTCGCCACTGGCGCCCGCGTTCCTCGAGATGCAGGGGAGACTCCGTCCCCTTGCATTAGTTCCGTCTTTCCAACCTTTTCATCTTATTGCTATTATTTTTTAATGGCCTTGATGAGGCCAGGTGATGAGCTTTCCAGACTCGACCAAGTCAAGGTGGCCCAGCCATAAGCCAATGCCACCATTTCTCGAGTGTCCCCCCCCCCTTCGAGATGCAAGAAAAAAGGGCCAGATCCCCATGTTCTTGCGCCATACGTCCTGTCAATCTGCCGCCCCCCCTTTTTTTATCATTATTTCAAGAGGCCGTTGATCAAGCCAGCTGATTGTTTTTCACACTAGTCCAGGATGGGGTGGCGCAGCCGTCGGGCAAATGTCTCTTGACCATATCTCTTCCTCCGTCCCACCTCATCGGGGCGGGCCAACATGAGTTTTGATGTGTTTCATCATGTCCTCCATCTCTCCGTCCTTGTTTTTTTTTGTTTCCCTCTCGCTAGTCCGCCTCACGAATCCTTTTTTTGCGCCCGTGGCTATGCCGTGTGCAAACCACCTTTTTTTTTGTTTGGTTTTGCTTGTTTTTTCCCGCCATGTTCCTCCTCCCTCCCACCCAAACCTCACTCAGCTCCGAAATCGGTATCCCGTTGACGCGTAATGCTTGACGGCAAGGGAAATTGAGGGGGGGGGGGGGGGGG